GGGAGGGGGGAGGAGGGGGGAGAACAAGGCCACGTTGGGATCAAATAGTGGCCAGTAGAGGAGGCGATAAGGAGCCTCCCGTTTGAAGTTTGAACGGTCCAACATCATGCTTTCAGAACTCTTTCCCCCGCCCTGTTTTTGTCGCTCGTCTTCTGATGCCCGTCATTTTCACATGGTTGACCTAGCAGTCAGTCGAGTACAATATACAGGTAGGTCCAGTGCTATCCTGACGGGTCGAAGAGAAAGCAGCACTTGGTTGAAACAAAGTTTGACCGTAAGTGACACATGAGAGATTCTCCAATTGTCGCAATTGTTCACTAGTCAAAGCACTACAATGAAATACGGACCTGTGTTAAAATCCGGGCCGTCCGGCAGGGGTCCCGTGCGGCCCCGCCGGTTGGGTCCCCCGGGTTGGCGCCGGGCGAGCCCAGCGCAATTCCGTGCGGAGGTGGGGGGAGGCCTTTTTCGGCTAGTGGTCGCCTGCCCAGCCTCCAGCAACACTAGGTTTTGTTTTTTTTTGGATCTATGACTAGTTTTTTTTTGGGGGGGGGGGGGGGGGGGGGGGAGGTCTTCTTCATCCCAGCCTCCATCTGGTGGGCTACGACGCCGCATTCGAATTCGAACGCGGTACTCCCCGTTGCGCGGCCCGTCGTCGCTGCCATCGTGAAGCCCGACCGTCGTTGCTGCTGCTCCTGGTCGAGCTGCCCGCCGTTGCTCCCCGTCGGGCTGCCCCGTTGAGAAGCCCTTCCGCCGTTGCTGCCCGTGAAGCTGCTGTCACCATCTTTGTGAATCCTCCACCTCATTCCTTCCTCTTCTTCTTCTTCTTCCTCTCCTCCTCCTCCTCCTTTCGTATTCTTCTTCTCCTCTCTTCCTCCTCCTCCTCCTTTCGTATTCTTCTTCTCCTCTCCTCCTCCTCCTCCTCCTCCTCCTTTCCTCTTCTCCTCCTCCTCTTCCTCCTCCTATCATCTTCTTCTCTCCTCCTCCTCCTCCTCCTCCCCCTCCTCCTTTCTTCTCCTCCTCCTTCTGTCTTCTTCTGCTGCTCCTTGTCGACTGCCCGCCGTTGCTCCCCGTCGGACTGCCCCGTTGAGAAGCCCTCCCGTCGTTGCTGCCCGTGAAGCTGCTGTCGCCATCTTTGTGAATCCTCCACCTCATTCCTTCCTCTTCTTCTTCTTCTTCCTCTCCTCCTCCTCCTCCTTCCGTATTCTTCTTCTCCTCTCTTCCTCCTCCTCCTTTCGTATTCTTCTTCTCCTCTTCCTCCTCCTGTCGTCTTCTTCTCTCCTCCTCCTCCTCCTCCTCCCCCTCCTCCTCCCCCTCCTCCTTTCTTCTCCTCCTCCTTCCGTCTTCTTCTCTCCCCCTCCTCCTCCTCTTTCTTCTCCTCCTCCTCCTCCTCCTTTCTCCTCCTCCTCCTCCTTCTCCTTTCGACTTCTTCTCTCCTCCTCCTCCTCCTCCTTTCTTCTCCACCTCCTCCTCCTCCTCCTCCTTCTTTCTTCTCCTCCTCCTCCTCCTCCTTTCTTCTCCTTCTCTTTCTCCTCCTCGTCCCGATTTCATTGGATTTGTTTATTAGGCGAAATGCCACGTGGCAACACCAGTGCGCTGAGAATTGCCATGTGTCCGGATAGGCGAGCTGCGGTGAAATCCCGCCGCTAGTTGACGCAATGACGGGCGGGATTCCTCTCTCTCTCTCTCTCTCTCTCTCTCTCTCTCTCTCTCTCTCTCTCTCTCTCTCTCTCTCTCTCTCTCTCTCTC